GCCGCGTGTCCAGCTGAAACGAGTTCAGCGTCGAAGCAGAAGAGGGTACGCGTCCAGGGGACCAGCCGTCTCTGTCGTAGCTTGCCCTTTCAGCCCCCCACGTGGTTGTGACCCTTATTCTGACATAAAAACCACTCATCTCCGTCGTCAAGGGAGGCGGCCCAAGTCCCACCTGGTGACCGCATCGCGGAGGTCCAGGGTCTCTGTTACGTGTGCGTCCCCGCATCAGGGTGCCCCGAGTGGTGGATCTGTGAAGCGCTGTGCCGAGGAGAAGCAGAGGAAGGCGGTCCCAGCACCTGTCTGGAAAAGGGAGGAGTGGGACGTACACTCACTGGTCACAGCCGCCCTGCTCTCAGAGGCGCTCCCTAAAGGGGCAGGTTCCGGGGGGCCCGCCCGGCTGCCCCCGTGTCTGCACGCGGAGGGTTCTGTGTCCGCCGGCCTCCTCCGAGGTGCTCCGGAGACGACGCTGCCGTGCTTCCTGGCGGTGCCCCAGGCCGGGCAGGTGGGGGAGGGACGGTCACGCCTCCTCGCAGGCCAGGTTGGGGCTGCTCCGGCTCCGGAGTCTCCGAGCATGTTGTCTCTGTCACATCCGCAGGTCAGATGCACAGCAAGGGTCTCTGGGGGCAGGTTTCACTCTTGAAAACCCTGCTCTGGTCTTTTCTGCCGTTGGGCTGGGGCCTCTCTGCCTGTCTCACCCGAGTCGTGGCTCCTTTGAGGCCACTGTGGCTGCAGGCTCGGTGGCATCGTTTCCTGCCCCGGGTGCCGGTCCCCGTGGTCCCCCCGAAGCTTGTGGCATCCTGGGCACACAGGCTTCGCTCTCGGGCATCTCGGGGGACCGCTGGACCCGGCACAGGGAAGGTGACCAGATTTCTAGCCTGCAGCACTCCCGTCCTTGCCCTCTGACGAGGCAGCACCCTGTACTTCAAACTGTGTGACCACCGGGCGACTCCTGGCCAGCGGCAGTTCTGTGCCGGCCACGAAGCAGGGTCCCGGGCCGCCCTCCCCATCGCTGCCTGAGGAGGGGCGTCCTTTGCAGAGTGACTCTCCCTCCTGGACTGAGCCTCCAAAGTTTTCTTGTATTTTCTTGGTCTTTTCCGGCAGGTGTTTTCAAGCCTGTCACCCAGCCTTCCTTGTGAAGTTTTCTTTTGTGTCACATTTACTCGTCCAGGGTCCTTGTTTTTCCCTGGAGGTGCCTTTTGGGGCTGCAGCCCGTGGGTGGCCACGGTGGCGCCCCCTCCCGTCCCGGGGACACAGGTGGTCCGTGTCCTCTCTGTGAGGACTGAATGACGACAGGGAAATTATGTTTCTTTTCTGACAACTTCCTGTTGGTGAGGCCGGTGTGGGGCTTCCTCCCTAAGGACGAGATGGGAGTGAAGGTGGGTGACAGCCCGAGTCCCTGAGGCTCATGAGTGGCCGAGCGGGGCCAGACCAGCCTTCATGCAGGGATCTCTGAGCTGATGCTCAACAGGGCAGCTTCACAGGGAACCGAGGCAATACCAGTTTGGCCCAATTTCCAGGAGCGCAGGCTTCTGGACGCTCCCAGGCTAGAGCGGGCCTGGGCGTAGGAGCTTCAGGGCAAGAGCGTTTGAAAAAACAGCTTGATTCCACCGCAGTGAGAAGCCCGCGCGGCGCAACGAAGACCCAGCGCAGCCAAAACTGAATAAATAAATTTATATGAAAAAATAAAAACAGCTCGATTGGGTGCAGCTCATACACTGCACGAAGAACCCACTCGGATCGTCCAGGCCAGGGGTTTTCAGGAGTCCCGGGGAATCGTGCAGCTGCTGCCTCAGCCGATGGTTGGGCGTTTGCATCGCCTCCGAAGGAAGGAAGCCCCGCGCCCGTCTCCAGGACCCCCACCCCCGCCGGGCAGCCACCAGACTACTGTCGCCTCTGCAAAGCAGGGCGAGAATTCTGTGCAGAACTCGGGTGCTTGCACGGAGCCTCCCTTGGGCTGGTGGGCGGTGGTTTCCAGCGCGCATCCCCACCCTCGGCAGGAGCCCCGACGCACGGGCAGAGTGCGCTTGGGTCCAGCCTGAATGTGGAGCGCCTTCAGGAGAGTAGCTCTAATTGCAGAACGCGCTCATTAAAGCTCTAGCCAGGGCCCTAAACCAGAACGAAAATGTTCCAGGGAGAGAAGTAACAGTTGGCAAACTCGGTGGGCACCCTGGGGAGGCATCTGTTTAAAATTAAGCAGCCTCCTGGTAGTTTCTCCTCCTCCTGGTAGACCAGCTGCCTCAGGATAATTTTTGGAAGAGTGAGTCAGGAGATGCTTTTGAAATGGCTGTTGCTGTAACTAATGTGAAAATGTTCATGGTTAAACCTTAGTTGGAAGATCACCGTTCCAGTAGGAAACTGTCCTGCTGTTACCAGTTATGGATGGCAGTAGACTTTGCCACTGATGACATGCCCAAATCCCTGACCTATAAAACGCTGTGCTTTGTTTCACTGAAACCCCAGTCTGTGTGCATGTGCTGTCTGTCTAGCGTCTTGGATTTGAACCGGAAAGCGTCTTGGAGGTGATCTCTCCTGCCCAGAGCATCCAGGGCTGCAGAGGGGTTACAGCAGGTGGTCCCACAGCAGAAGTCAGGCTGGGAAGCAGAGGGAAGGGGGCCTGACGATGCGCCCCGGCATCTGCCTCCTGAGCCCCGGGCCAGGCAGGCACTGACCCCCGCCCAGAGCTCTTCTCTCCGGATCTCGTGCCTTTTCTCGTCTTCACCCTAAACCCCATTTTCTGAGATCCCCTGCCTGTCCTGTGACCTCTGTCAGAGGCCGGAAGCCACAGCCGCTTTCTAGTTGGTATTGGCAGTTGTAGTTGTGACATGGTCTTGTAGTCCGACCTCACGTTGACACAGGGACTTGTGCCACGTGCAGGAAGTCAGAACTCCACGCGCCTCTGGCAGAGAGCAACACGCAGCTTGTTTTGTTAATTTGCAGCAGTTGAAGGAAGAGACAAATGGTAAAGGGACGTGGAAACTCTTTTTTAACTGTCAGCACTACTGCCTTCCTACCTAGCACTTGTGGAACAGGTGTGTGTGCGTGTGTGCGTGCGCACAGACACCCCTGCTGTTCATCCAGTCCTGTCCTTCACAGGTGGAGCTCACCTCAGCCACGCTCTGTTCACCTGTGTGGAGCCCTCAGCCGGTTCCCAGGCTCGGGGACACTGGGCCCATCTCGGACCTGGTGGGGATGCACGTTGACTCTGACTTACAAAAGCTGACCAGCCTCTGGGTCTGGAGAGACCCTCGGCCTCAGAAAGCATCTTAGGCATATGTGTGATGTCACTTTCTAGCCAAAAGACTGATGGAGGAAATTTCCGTCGGGTGGTGGGGAAACTAAAGAAAGTGGAAAGGACAGCAAACGTTTCTTTAACTGGCTTACAAGAAGGAGATGGCGGGCGATTTTTAAATAGCCTGGGGCGGCCCTATAAGCAGAACCGGAGGGAAGATGTCGCCATTCCAGACCTCCCCACCCGCATCCCTGACATTTTGGTGTTTAGGCGGAATTTCCCAGAAGCAAAACAGCATCAACAGGAAAACAGCTTCTGTTGCACAGTATCAAGATCCCTTTGTTCTGCTTTTGGATTTGGAAATACAAACCTGGTAGCCGTGGCTCCCAGTGTCTCGGTGCCTCACTGCCTGCTGCAGGGCTCCGCCTGGACAGCCACATGCAGCCGCTCTCTGCTTGGTGTCTCTGGAAGAATCTGTACTGGCCAGTGAGGCCAGCTGGAGTTCCTGATTTTCCCTGTGAGATGCAGGCAGGGGCTCTCAGAGTAGACGCTTGTACTGCTGAGTCATTTCCTGAGAGGTGGGTCTCCCCGGCGGAAGGCTCGCGAGCACCCCCGCTGGGTGCCGGGGTGCCAGGTCACCACCTGCCATGTCCCAGAGCCTGTTCTTCAGTCTTGTTTCTTCAAAGTTTTTTTTGTTTGTTTTGTTTTGTTTTTGTTTTTGCGGTATGCGGGCCTCTCACTGTTGCGGCCTCTTCCGTTGCGGAGCACAGGCTCCGGACGCGCAGGCTCGGCGGCCATGGCTCACGGGCCCAGCCGCTCCGCGGCATGTGGGATCTTCCCGGACCGGGGCACGAACGCGCGTCCCCTGCATCGGCAGGCGGACTCTCAACCACTGCGCCACCAGGGAAGCCCCAAAGTTGTTTTACTAAGAGAAAAGGGAATTGGATTGAAGCAGTGCTTGCTGTGTGGGTGGGAGGTGGGAGGTAATTGGCTACTCAGACAGTGAATTGAATTGAATTGAATTGAATTGACTGGACCAAATATCAGGGCCTTTTCCGTGTGCACCCTGTGTCTGCTAGCCACAGTTAGCAACTTGTGGATAACTGGTCAGTTCAGAAGGTGTGCTTGACAAGTAATGCCCCGCTTTACTGGTCAGAGTTTGTGGGAGGGAGATGAGCCCTGGGTTCCTGTGCGCACACAGGGAGGGACTGGGGTCTGCAGTGGCCTGGGGCGGGCGGTCCCCTGCCAGTAGAGGAGACGAGGCTCGGGGCTCGTGAGGCCAGAACGGACGGTGAAGGCAGCCAATACCCTCGGGTTCCAGGCGCTTCCTCCGAGACCCCCGCCGGCGCCTCTGCGGGCAGCGCTCGCTTTCCATCTTCTGGGTGACGGGCATCTGTCGTTAAAAAGCTGCCCTGGAGGTGACCGCGGCGTTTCGGTTTCCCAAGGAGCGTTCTCTGCCCGGTGCTGGATCCACGTGGCGCGTGTGGCGGACAGGAAGCCGGCTGGCCATCTGGAGCCCGTGTGGGAGGGGACACCAGGGGGCTTGTCCGGGCTGGAGGTCTTGCCGTCGCACGCGTCGTGGGGGGAGCCCGGTGCCCTCGCCGGCCTGTCCCGAGGGAAGCGGAGGTGGCGTGGTTTGGGCGCAGGTTTGGGTACGTGTATGTGCGCGGCGTAGTCGGAGAGCACACTGGCTGGTGACGGCGGGCGGCGTAGACGCGCCGGGACACCTCCCCCCTGCTGGACCTAACGTCCCGCTCCCCTCCCGTTGCAGGTGCACCTTCCGCTTCCCCAGCACGGCGATAAAGATCCAGTTCACGTCGCTGTACCATCAGGAGGAGGCCCCGGCATCCCCCCTCCGGCCGCTCTACCCGCAGATCTCCCCGCTGAAGATCCACATCCCGGAGCCGGACCTCCGGAGCCTGGTCAGCCCCGTCCCCTCCCCGACTGGCACCATCAGGTGAGTGGCCTGGCCCCCTCGTGCGGTTGCCTCTGCAGAAGCCGCGGCCCTGTGCTTTAGAACGCGGCCGAGAAAGAGGAAAGTGATATGGGTGTTCTGTGTTTCATACGATATCAAGTATGTTTCTGGAAAATTGCCCGTGGATGGAAATTTTGAAACTATTTTAAGTGCATCAAGGGACCTGAGGACTTAAATTAACTCTCTGGAGAATTCTTTTATAAAGTGAAGAATCACTACTTAATTAGTCACTTTTCCAGTTTGAAATTTTATATACTAGGGTCTTTTAAAACAAGCTTAGGTATCAGTTTTTAAAGACAGTGAAACTATTTAAAAGGAGTATTTGTATACCAGGATTTGGTGGACTAGGTTTTTCTAAACTTTATTGGTAGAAATCCTTTGCAAAGTTTTAGAAATTACTCTAGATTTTGAAGAAAGGGAAGTCCTCGAACTTTCTCATCCTTGGCGTGTTATACAGAGAGGGTCCCTGGGGGCAGGTCTGAGGGTGAAGTGTGTAGCCAGAGACTGGGGAGGGGACTGGTGAGCTGTCCCCTCTGAGGGGCACAAGTATTTTTGCGACAACAGGGGTCCTATGCCTTCTTCCCCTTTTGTCGTAAAACATGTTGAAAGACATGGACTTGAGGATCAAGATTTAATAAACTTTAAATAGTTTACCGCTTCATTGAGGACGTTTTAAAACAAAGCTGGCCTGTGCCTTATTGGTGTGTGCGACCCTGGCGATGCCATGAGCACCAGTGCATTTGGTGCTGGTGCCTCGGTTCCTGCCATGCACTGCGCTTGCCACCGCGGACTGGGCATCATCAAACGTCAGCCCGTGGAGGAGGCAGAGCGTGTCTCGGTGTCGCCACGAAACCAGTTTCGGCCTCACACACCCCCTGAAATGGTCTCGGGGCCCCGGGGTGCCTCTGGGAACCACACTCCGAGAAGCACTTCTCAGCAGAGCTCGAGCTTTGCGTCCCTGAGTCTTACCAGGTCTCTCCTCTGGCTGACCAGCCAGGCTCGTGGTCCCTGGTTTTGCACCTTTAAGGGTTACACTTAGAAGCACAGATGAGTTAATCATGGCATCACCATTGGTTTCCCTTTAGCCTTTTGTTTTCCTACCATGATGTGTGGAGTCATTTGCACTGAGTTGCTTGGAGTCAGTTTCCTCCCGAGCCAGTGAGCGGGCGGGTGCGTTTCTCTCACGGAGAGAAAGTTCAGGGACGGCTTTGAAATGTCACGGACCTGAATTCTGGTTCTGGCCGCATCTCCAGTTGGTGGGAGAGCTGGGGGCAGGTCCCTGCAGCCTCCTCGGGCTTCGTTTTCTCCCTCAGTGAATCCCTCCAACATCGCAGATGTCTGGGACGCCAAAGAGGAGCAGTGAGTGACGGAGACCCGCTGTATGCCAGGCCCTGCGCTCAGCCGCTAGACGTGTGTTATTTTATTTAGTCCTTAGGGATTTACGAGATAGATTTTTTTCTTTAGTTCTTTTCAGGTTTCCAGCAATAGCTCTGTTCTCAAACCCGAAATTTAGCACATCATCTCACTGTTCTTTCAGACATCTACCTTGAAAATCATCTAAAGCACGAGGGCTCCACTGGAGTTAACGATGAAGTTGTGCTATGAACATGCTCTTGCACTTACTTACATGTGTATAATTTATGCGTAGATAAAAAATTTTGTGTAGTAAAATGAAGCAGCCACTTTGGAATACAGTCTGGCAGGTCCTCAAAATGTTAAAGGGTTACCTTAACCGCCCAGCAGCTCCCTGGGTCGTGAGGTCTCCGTGGAAACTCATCCACAGGGGTTCACGGCAGTGTTATTCATAGCAGCCCCCAAAGTGGAAACAGCTCACGTGTCCCTCAGCTGCTGAGTGGAGAGCAAATGTGTTACAGCCACAGGGTGGAGGGCTGTTCCGGCATCCAAAGGAAAGAAGTGCTGACCCCTGGTACAACATGGATGACCCTCGAAAACATGAGGCAAAGTGAAAGCACCCAGTCCCCAGAGACCACACACGGTGTGATTCTGTTGATATGGAATGTCCAGAATGGGCAAATCCTTCGAGAAGGAAAATAGGCTGCCAGGGGCTGGGGGTTCAAGGGAGTGGGCTGCACACTGTCACGGAGTTTCTTTCTGGGGTGGCGACAGTATTGTGGAATGAGGTGATGGTCACACAACGCTGGATGCACTAAAAACCACTGAATTGTACACTCGGAACGGGTGAATTGTGTAGTGTGTGAATTCTAGCTCAGCGAAGCTGATAAAACTTGTATGCGCTGACACCTTTATCCAGTAGCACCTCAGAGCGGCTGCAGCAGTGGCCAAGTGTGTTTTACGTGCCGTGGGGAGCCAGACAGGCGTGTGGGCCTCCGGGTGGGCCTCGGAGCCCTTACACGCCTGGTGAAACCAGAGCCCGAGGTCAGCCTTAGACTGGCCTGGGGCTGCGGAATCCTGCCACATCGACGCTTTTTTTTTTTTTTTTTTGGCGACGCTTTTTAAGAAAGAAAACTGTTTTGGTTTGTATCTGGAGGTCTTCATAAAATAGATACAATTCCCAGTAACATTTTGAATAAAAACAGTGGCCAGCAGGCTGAGCTAGTGCAGCAGCTCCACGTGCTGCGGCCGCCTGTGTGTTAGGAGGCGCCGGCGGTTCTAAAGGGGCGTAGATGGTGTCACTGAGCAGAGTGAGGCGGGTGTCCCTGCGCAGTTCTGGGAAGTCGCGGCCACGTGACTGTGGAGACCCCGGGCCCGAGTGGGGTTGGGGCGCTTGGGCGCCGGGGCACTCGCCTCTGGTCTTCATCCGGTAGAACAGCTCTGCGGGGAAAGTAGTAACTCTGAGACTGGCTCTTTCACTCTTGGGCCTTTAAGTGTCACAGAAAAGGATTTCTGTTTACATCCGTTTATCTTGGCGCCGCGGAATCCGATTGCCCGCTGGAAACCTCAGAGGCCCTTGAGGTTTTGCTGCCCAGATCCTTTTCCTGCGCGCCCGGCGCAGGCGCGGGGCCGGCGTGTTTACAAACAGCTGCCTCCCCCAACCCCGCCCGGGCACCCTCCCTGCGCCCGTCGCCCATAGCAGGTCCCCGGGGAAGCGGGCGGGCTGGGAGACCCCGGCCGGCAGCGGCCCGCGCCCCGGTCCCCGTCCGGGTCCCCGTCCCTACGCCCTACAACCGCCCCCTCCCCCCCCCCCCCCCCCCCCGCGGCCCCCTCCGCAATCCCGGCCCCGCCCCGCCGCGGTCCCCGTTTGGAGCGTCTGAGCCCGCTGCACGGTTGGCCCGCTCGCCCGGCGGCTCAGCTGCAGAGGCTCGCAGGCCTCGGCCCGGGTCGGCCTCCTCCGGCTCTGGGCCCGTCCTCTCGAGGTGTGGGGAGCGGCTGCACCTGTAGGAGCGGCCCCGCCCTCCCTGCTGACCCGCCCCCTCCCTCCTTCCCCAGGTGGCCGGGCGGGGGCGGGGGCGGGTTCTGCGGGGTTTTTTCCTTGCACTGAAGTCCTCCACCCAGAAAATGAATGAACTCTCTTGTTAAGAAAAATGCTGAAATTCAACCAGAGAAAGGGAGCAGCACAGAAAGAGAGCAGCTAATTTATACTAAGTTTTTAGAAGCTATTTCTTGAGGAAGGCATTTCTTAATTTTTGTAATATAGAGATCAAAACCAAAAGTAATTTGTTTTGTGGAATTTGGCCAAGGTTAGCGGAACCCTGTAGGAAATAAAAATTAAGCAACCAGCCTCAGAACCTAAACCACTTTTAACCATGACCTTCCAGCCCAGTCCTGCTTCACTGCTGCGCGAGATTCAGTCCTAACTCACTTTGCAGTGTTAAGTGCCTTGAGTTGGGAGGTTTTCGAGTTGGCTGTTGGAAGGTCTTTGTGTTTCTGGCAAACTTTGGATCCTTCCTTGAGAGTGATTTATTCTGTTGCGAAGTTTCCAGCTGCAGCGTTGCCTCAGTTCCCCCGAGTGACCCAGAGAGGAAGGTGCCTGCACAGTGGGGAGCCCTGCCTGGCTGGTCTGGGAGACCCGCCGTCAGTGGGTCCCGCACCTATATCTGCACCGGTGGCCCTCGCACCCCCCAGCCCCACTCACACCCACCTGGTCCCTTTCCCCATCTGAAAACTTGGGAGAAATAAAAATTGGTTCATCTACACAGAAAGGTGCGGCCCTCCGTGTCCTTTATAGTTTCCTTCTGCCTGCATCCGTGCCAGGGTGTTTTTGGCTTTAAATTGTCGAGAGGAGGTTGACTGGGCTTGTGCTTTAGTCTCGTGTCCATTGGGGCAGCTGTTTCCCTGCTCTCGGGCACGTCTTCGGGGGATGGGTGCCATGTAATGTGTTCCTGGGTGTGCCTTCTGGGCGAGGCCCGGCCTGGTGCCCTGCCGCCGAGAGCCCTTCCTTTCCAGATTGCGGCTCTGGGTTTCCGGAAGCAGGCAGAGCCTGGAGGAAGACCTGAGGGAGGCATGGGCCCCCCCGCCCGGATCTGCCCTCTCCTCAGAGGGAGATGCACCTGGTACTTTTGGGCTCAGGCCTGTTCGCTTATTGTTCTCACTGGGACAAGGCGTGTTTCATAAATGAGTTAACCTTTTCAAATAGTGTCCCGGGATTTCACAGCACTGAGTGTCTCTTAGTGAGCACAGGTGTTCTTAAGAGACTGGCCTCTCTTTCCCTTTATTTTCCCCCGGATTACAGAAATATTACAATATACGTGCACTCTACAAAATTGAAATGTTTCAGAAAATAAAAATCGTGCAGTGACATTCTTGGAGAGAAGTCCACGTTTGCAGGTGCATCTTCTCTGAACATGCCCGAGAGCTTGTCTGACGGGTGTGAGTACTTGTGGCCCCTCCCCAGAAAGGTCCCTCGGAGCTCAGAATGTCCTGCAGCTTGCTTTTTCTCCTGTCCCTCTGTGTCTCGGGCTCCCTTCTGTGTCACTGCATCGCTCGTGGCTGCACAGTGGACTGTCTGACGTGACCTGTATTTGATTGACCAGTTCCCCACCGAGGGCCAGCAGCTCTTTCCA